CCGCATCGGGCTCCCTGCTCAGCGGGGAGTCTGCTTCTCCCTCTGACCCTCCCCCCTCTCATGTGCTCTCTCTCTCTCTCTCATTCTCGCTCTCTCAAGTAAATAAATAAAATCTTTAAAAAAATAAAAAATTAAAAAAATAAAATTAAAAAAAAAAAGAATTTGGCTGATCTTTGTCCTTGGCTCTGGGGAGGTAATCTTTAAGTGCTTGGAATCTCTCGAGTAACAGGAGCATCTTTGTTATTCATGGTGGGCGCCTTGTACCACACTTGGGTTTATGTCAGTAAGATGACCCAGGTTGGGGGCTGGTGATGCCAGAAAGACCAACCATGTGATTACAGGGTTACAGCCTTGACCTCTGGGGATGAGAGGGGGGCTGGAGACAGAGTCAGTCATGTGGGCAATGATTCAATCAATCACACCTATGTAAGGAAATTCTGATGAAAACTCTGGACATGTGGGGAGCTTCTTGCTTGGTGACACATCCTGAGAATATAGGAAGCTTTGCTTTGGGGGCCCTCCCAGACTCCCCCCTGTGTGTCTCTTCATCTAGGTGGTCTTGATTTGTATCCTTTATAATAAAAACTATAATCATAAGTATAGTGCTTTCCTGACTCCTCTGAGTGCTTCAAGCAAGTTAATGAACCTGACAGGAGTAGCAGGACCCTCCAAAATTTTCGGTCATTGGTTCAGAGGTGCAGGTGACTCGGGAACACCTGAGTCTGCAGCTAGTGTCTGCAGTGAGGACAGTCTTGTGGGCACTGCACCCTCAGCCTGTGAAGTCTGCTAACTCTGGTAGTTCATGTCAGAATTGCATTGCAGCTTGGAAGTGGATCCTTCCCCGGCTGAACCTTCAGATTAGACCCCAGCCCTGGCTGATATGGTGACGGCAGCCCACAGAGGATCCCGCTCAGCAGTGCTTGGGTTCCTGGCCCCAGAAACTATGAGATAGTGAAGGTGTGTTGTTGAAGCTGCTGTATTTGTGGTAATGTTGTTACACAGCAACAGATAACCAAAATGCTGAAACCCTAGTGTGTACCCTTCCACACAAAGAACCTGAGACAAGGAGGCATCTTCACCATTGCTGGGGGAGCTTCAGATGGTTTTCTGGAAAGGGAATGGGCTTCTGAGACAGAGCTGAATTCCAACTCCTGCACCTGCCTCTCCCACCTCTACGTCTTTGCACAAGGGAACCTGCCCTGCTGCCCCTCACTTTACATATTTCCCGTTAATTTGCCCCTGCTGCCCGAATTTCACCAA